CGATTTTTCATCAATCTCTTGAGCACCTCCAATTTCACATGAAGGATATATGTCTTACCTCACTTAAGAAGATGTGGCCACCCCAGAACTGCCATCCTCAACAGGGGACGGAGATCACGGTTTGCTCCAATTGTTTCCACTTCTTTTTGGTAACCGAGTTCTACAAAAGGATAATGGGCTTCAGTAATCACCTTAACTAAAAGAAGGCCTATACGGGAAACGTGCTTACCATTAACATGATGACGTACTCCTTCCACTTTTGATTTATTTGTTTTGTTTCTCAGTGTAAGTTGAACATTTATGTTCCTCTTCAATTTCTTCCAAAGGCTCTGTTTAATTTTGCTTTTAGAATAAATTGTTAGACTTTGTTTTCAAATAAATTTTTATGAAAAATATTCTCATAGCTATTATCTCTGATCCTGAAAAAAATAAAATTTGTCAAACAAAAAAATAAGATCTATGACTCAAGAATTTTAAAATAATTTCCAAATGTCCACCATTTAACCCTAATGCCATCACATTGATATCATAATATACCATTCTCATAAACAAAACACAATAAAAATATTACATTACAAACCAAGAAATAATTAAAAATTTTTGAATAATACAAATATCCGATAATCCGCGCGCAGCGCGGATGGACCACTAGTATATATATATATATATATATATATAAAATCCAAATGAGACCAAAAACAGTGAATTCAGAAACTCCAAAACCAGAAAGGGTTTATCTAAAACCAAAACGCGCAGACCTCCCTATATTACCTTGGTTGAAATTGGATTTGACGATTAATTCAGACAAAATTGTGATAAATATTTTTGGGGTGGAGATTATTTGATTTGTAAATTTAGTGCAGGGAATGAGAATACACAAATATTCAGGGGCACAAGATATACGTTTTTAAAAATTCATGTTTTAAAGGCTCTGTTTTAGGACGAGTTAAAACTTAATTAAACGTCATCACAAGCCAAAAAAAAAACCCTCAAAGTCACTCTAGCTTTTGATTGATTCAGACAAATGTGGATACGGTCGGCGTCGTTCATCCTCGACAAACATCAGAACTAAAAAAAAAAACCTATCTCTCTAACTCCCTCCATGGACTCCCCTTCTCCACCATCTGCTTCACTGGCCGATGAAAACCCTAACCCTAATCCTATTTCGGCTTACTACCAAACCTGAGCGTCTCACCATGGGATCGTCACCAGCGACTGGCTAGAACAGGCTCAAGCCGCCGTTCGTCGCTACCCTGAAAAAGATTCTCCGGTCTCGTCAAGACCCTTTGCCGTGATTGAGGAGTTCAACAACTGGAGACAGCAGCCAGATTTGGCGGAGGCTGTTGCGGCGATTCGTGCTCTTGCGGCTGTTATTAGGGCTAGCGAAGCGACTACGATGATGGAGCTCGAGATTGAACTCAAGAAAGCTTCTGATACATTGAAGGTAAGCTTCTTTCTTCTTCTTTTGTATGTGAATTAGGGTTCCAGTTTGCACTGTTGGTCATTGATGTTACTGCTTATTGAGTCTGTTAACATTTTAGGTTACAGTAGTTTTATAACATAGGTTATGTCGTAAATATAAGATGCGATCGTTGCATTGCACCGAGACTGTATGAAACCTTGTCAGCTTGTAAGTTATTTTCATAGTGCAAGGTTTGTATGACTATCTTCACTTTTCAGGCATGGGATACAACTTCCATATCCTTAACAGCAGGATGTGATCTATTCATGCGGTACGTGACTCGAACATCTGCTTTAGAATTTGAGGATTTCAATTCAGCGAAATTCCGCGTGCTTGGACGTGCTGAGAAGTTTGGAGAAATATCTAACAAAGTCAGTGGTTTTCTTGGATGATTTGTGTAGAAAGATACATGTATTGGTAATTCTTTTATTTTCTTCTTCTCCAGGCTCGAAAGATCATTGCAATGCTTAGTCAAGATTTCATATTTGATGGGTGTACCATACTGGTTCATGGTTTCTCTAGAGTTGTATTCGAGATACTAAAGACAGCAGCTCAAAACAAGAAACTCTTTCGAGTGTTGTGCACAGGTTGCCTTTCTCTTTAAAACTTTGAGATTGTTCCTGTCTGTCATTTTCTGATCATCTCATTGGGTTTTGTGCAGAGGGAAGGCCAGATAAAACAGGTGTACTGCTAGCTAAGGAGCTTGCTAAGCTAGATGTTCCACTGAAGCTTCTGATTGATTCAGCTGTGGCCTATTGCATGGATGAAGTAGACATGGTGTTTGTTGGAGCCGACGGAGTGGTTGAAAGTGGCGGTTTAGTTAACATGATGGGTACTTACCAAATAGCGATTGTCGCACACAGTATGAACAAACCAGTCTATGTAGCTGCAGAGAGTTACAAGGTAAAACACCTCAAAGTTTTTAACATTTTTCAATGTGGTTTCAGAAACAGTGTGATTCATCATCTAATTTTATTGTTCTTTTCTTGCAGTTTGCACGCCTCTACCCGTTGGATCAAAAGACCTTAGAGCCGGCCTTGCGACCTATTGATTTTGGTGTTTCTGTTCCTCCTAAGGTTGAGGTAGAAAGATCTGCCAGAGACTACACTCCCCCGCAGTTCCTTACTCTGCTCTTTACTGATCTTGGTGTTCTCACTCCATCTGTAGTAAGTGATGAGCTAATTCAGCTTTACTCATAACTAAAGCTAATCTGTCTTCTTTTTCTCTATTCCTGAAGCTCGTCCAAGAGCTTTGTTTGATTGCTACTTTTTATCTTTTACAAAAAATGTTTATACATGTGTAACTGGAAAATGGACAAAATTATCATAAACTTTCAAATTTAATGAAAATTCGTCGAACAAACACGACAATTTAACCTTCAACTTTCGGTTCAAAGCAATCAATTTCATATTTTTATTGATTAAACCATTTCAATTTTTTTTCACAAGTCAATAGCTAATTAGTTCTGTAAATTATATTTAATGATTGAGTTTTGACAAGATCGAAATAGTTTGGTTAACATAAATATTAAAATTTTTATTATAGTTAAAAAATTTATACTATTAAAATAAAATCCATGGCTTATTTTATGTGTGATTTGTCATTAATATCATTCCTTAGATAATTTTATTAAATTTTACATAATTTAGTTATAATATCTTCCAGTATTTATCTTTTTATTTAAAATACAAATGACCTTTTCAAATTAAAAACCAAAAGAAAATCTTTTTGATATCTTATAAAAGATTTATTCTGAAAATTATTAATTATATTCTAATTATCATAAGGTATCACTAGATTTTTAATATTAATTTATTTGATTTATAAATGAAAATTAAAATATTTTTAATTATATTTTAATGATAATAACAATTTAAATTGACTAAGTTTCAAAAATATATTTATAAAGATTTGTTTACATCAAAATGATGCCAAATTTCTCAAGTTATAGATGGTCTGGAATCCAAAGCGGAATAGAATAACCAACAAAAAATAAATGTCTAAAAAAAGCTCACACAGTCTTCACCTAAGTGTGTGATGGTTTCTCCACCCTTGGTATGTATATGATCTTATAGTTCTCGAATATTTTCCAAAAATTTTATATAGACTCTGTTAGAAATAAATATTCATTTCTATCTCAAATGGAAAAATACAAATATTTTATGTATTAAAATAAAAATTATGATTCATTTCATATTTTATTTTTATTTAGAGATTAATCCTTTAAACATCTATTAGAAACACATGTTCATTTTATCTCAAATATAAAAATAAAATATCTATCTTATTAAAACAGAAACATTACAACTTCTTCTAGGTGGACTTTTAAGTTGTACCACCTATTCTTAATCTATAGTCTTATTACGATATGATATTATTGTTAGTAGGGTATCTAATATAGGCATATTCTACGCCTATATTTCAAAACTTGAACATCAAGATCACATATTTATTGTTGCCGTGAGTTTCTATTATGGTTTCCTAGATATTTCGAGAAAGAATCACGTAAAATATCTACATATTCCATAAAAACTAAATTTTAGATATGCTCTATTTAAAAGATTTGATCCGGCGCTTCCTTTTCAATATATATTTACCTACAATATAGGTAACCATTAAAACCGATTAGTAATATCCTATATTAAATATATGTAAATGTTAACTAGATGGATCCCACACAATATAGAAAACCCTACAAATCTCTATCCATCTATAAATATCCAAGCCAAGACTCATATAATCGACCATCAACAAAAACTCAAACCCATGTCGCCATGACTACGAATAACAGTGTTTCTTTACTCAAAAAAATCAAACCCTACAAACAAGGATGGCTCGAAGTGAAGTTGGTTCATTCATGGAGACAGAGAACCAACTATGGAGGAGATATATTGAGTTGATCTACACTGATGAAATTGTGAGAGGATTTCGTTTTATTTGTTTTTAATAACCATATGCATTACGTACTAAGTTATACAATTTATTTTTGTTTCAGGGTGATAAAATCCACTGTACGTGCAAGAGGAATTACATTCAACGTATGGAACGTAAACTAAGTTTGGGTGAATGGCTACTAATAGAAACGTTTTCGGTGAATCCTGCTACGGGATAGTATCGTCCAACGAACCATGCATTCAAGATGTCCATCGTTGAGGATACTAAGATAACAAAAAGTTCTCTTGTGTGTGATAATAACTTCTTGTGTTTTACTGGGTTTGAAGAGATTGGAAATGGAACCCTCAAAACAAATTTTCTAATTGGTTAGTGTATCAATCATATTTTATTATTTATGTGGTTTTCAATACTAATGTTTAATATGTTTTTTTCCAATGTCATTGTTCAAGTGACCAGTCTTCGTGACATCCAACTGTCCAGGTTTCCGTCATGGATAAGAAGAAAGTCGAATTCCGCTTGATGGATATCAAGTGAGTTAATCTATTAAAAGATATTTTGACCTTTTATATCGTATTGTGTTGCTTATTGATTCTATTTTATTGATTTATAATTTCAGTGGTCAAAGCATTGCCTGTTGTTTGTGAGGTAAATATGCTGAACAGCTAGAAGAACATCACCAACAAAACAATGATACTAATTTTGTGTGCTTTCTACGGTTTGCAAAAATAGAGTTTTACAAAGGTTTGAACAACATATAACCAAAAATTCTATTTTTATTTTAATTAAATAGCATACATATCTAATGTATATGTTATTATCCTATACTTATGTTTTATAGTGCTTATGTTTTATAGGAGAAGTTCAGGTAACCAATGCATTTGATGCATCCCTTATCCTTTTCAATCCTGAATTACCTGAAACTCTTGCTTTTAAAAACGTGTAAGCTTCTTAACTACTCTATTAATGAGTTTCTTATACTATTAAACATATATTTTATTTGTATCATCCAATTATATTTTCAAGGTGGCACATGATGAGCTTGCTCTTGCTCTTACTGATCCAAAGAAAGAGAAGCGACTGACCAGATACCAAGTTGATAATTGGAATGATGTTGATATTATTTGAAATTTATGTTTAATAGTATGTAATTTATTTAAATATAGTTCAATGTTATTTGTTAAATATTTGATAGTTGATGTTTAAAAAAAGAACAAACAAGTATTTATTTAAATTATTTAACTGATAATTATAATCTGATCATGAGATGAGTATATTTTTGGTTAAATCAATTCCAGTACCTTATGTTACAATGGGGATGATTGGTTGAACTGTAGCTGTAATTTTTTACTGTATAAATTAGTCTATAGAAATTTTTGATTTAGCTGTAAAAGATGTAGTTTTAAAATTTATTGCTACAACAACATATTTTTTACAGCAAAAAAAAGATGTGGTTTTAAAAAATAAGGATTTTACAACCATTTTTTAGTTTTTTTCTGTAGCTTTAAAAAATAAAATAAAACATGATTTGCGATTTAAATGCTATAGATAAAAATTAAAACTAAAGTCAGCACTTACAACCCAACCAATCACCCCCCATTGAAAATAATTTGTTCCTTTTAGAAAATTTTGCATATGTTCTTATGTTTAATAATAAGAAATATTTCAACAAACAAAAAATATATACAATGAAATAATAAATGTGGTGAAAAAGAATAAAATTGAATTACATACTTATGTTTGAAAATTGCATTTACACATTTGAATATCTATATTATTAAAACAGAAACATCACAACTTCTTCTAGGTAAGATTTTTAAGTTGGACCTCACGTTATTAATGTAATATTATATGTTTAATTAGTCTTATTATGATGTGTTGTACCATTATTTTTTGCTTTTCGGATGCTTTGAAGCACACCTCTTCCTTGCCTTTATCGTGGGTATCTATGCTTTAGGAAGTTACTGATATTTCGATATCTTATAATTAATAAGAAGATAATTATACTTCACGTTTAGGAAATTAGACATATATCCACATTCAACTATTAAATAACATTTAATTTGGATACATATATACATTCTTATTCTTTAAGAATATCCCCAGTATATGTTTTTTTTTAAATAGAAAATCTCGGTTACAATTAAAACTTTTGGTTTGTTATTAATTATAAAGAAAAATTTCAGTTTTTAAAAAATAATGCTTAATATAAAAATAAGAATCAAAATAAATTTACTTGGATACAAAAAAATATTTACTTAAAAGTACAATATTAAAAGTTAATTAATATTTAGAAATTTGGTTATATTATTACAAATTATGCTTGATGTTTTTACAGTTAAATTTTTTTGTGGGTTATTCTATGAGGCGTACAAAATAATTATCAAATAAAAAATAAGTTAAAAAAATATTTTATCCTTTTTATTATAACATATTAACATAAACATTAATCAACATGAAACAAATTAAAAATATTAATTATACCTAATTTCAGTTTTAAATCTTTTAAAATAAACATAACCAGTTATACTATTTTGATTTGAACATAATTATTATAATTCTGGATTTCATATCGGCTACCCATCGGCTTAAATGGTTAGTTTCAGATTTTAGCGATTTTTGTGGATTTTATCAGATTTTTAAATAATAGATTCATTAAAATCAAAACCGGGATATATTGAATCACCGGGTTCACCAATTCGACCGCATGTTCAAATCGGGATTACAAACGATGAGTTGAATGTAAAATGTTTTTAATAGTCTTAATTCTTACAAATTAATAAAACATTTGTAACATTCTTAAGTGCGGGTCAAAATCATTGAAATTTAATAAAAATTAAATTTATTTATTTTATTGAAAAATTATATACAATATACATCTATAAATATAATTATATTTTAAATATTTTTAAAATGTACAATGGATCCGGATCTAGATATCCAGACCTAAATTTCTCTATCTGGATCCATAAAACACTATATGATCCAGACCCTCGGATATTCATTTATTCGGAGCGGATCGGAATGTACCCAGATCGGATAACGAATAGCGGATATTACGTCTCAGGTCTAATAAGATGTAACTAAACTCTCAACTAATCATCAAAACGCGAACAGTTAAGTTTAACTTTAATTATGCATTTCGAACAACGTACATAATTAGTGTTCACTGCACGGTTATATCTACGTAATACACTCCTGAACACTATTAATACAAAAAAAATAGTTTTGATATTTTTCTTTAAATATAAAATAGAATTAGACAAACCAAAAACTATGTAAATATAAATTATATAGAATACATCCA